GGTGTACGTCAGTATTCTTCTCACATCTGGAACCCACTGTTAGTGTTCTGAGGCAGCTTCAGCTGCTGTGATGGGCCTACGTAGTTTGAATGTTGAGCCTGTCAATATTTGCTGAGTCTTCACCCGTAGAAAATCTGATAGGACAGTCTCGGTGAGCAGGCCCCTGCATACAGCAGCCTCTCTTTAAGTAGTTTCACTTTCTGTGTTTCTAGTTACCCAGGCTCAACTGTAGTCCAAAAAATGTGATATCCTAGAGATACCATATAACTTTTATTATAGTATAATTGTTCTAAGAGGTCAATGAATTAGTTTACAAACTCATCCTAGAAAAAGTGCTACATACCTCAATTGCTGAATATCACTATAGTTGCCTTCAAGGTACTCCCTTGGGAAACTATGCATCAATGCCACCCTTCAAAGCAATTTTGGAACTCTTTTTCTGGAATTGCCAATCAGAGCTGTTGTCATGTGTGGTCTGGCAGTTAAGTTCACAAACTCATCCTAGAAAAAGTGCTACGTACCTCATTGCTGGTGAGCACTGCAGTCAGCTATGAAGTACTCTCCTTGGCCTTCTTAATTGTCCTAGCTAGTATTTATCATTACTGTTAATCTCTTACTGTATCGATTTATAAATTAAACTGCATCATGGATGTTTATGTATGGGAAGAAACATAGTGTATCTAGGGTTTAGTACTATTAGAAGTTTCAGGCATCTACTGGGGGCCTTGGAACGTATCCCCACAGACTGAGGGAGACTGTCGTACTTGTGGTTTATCTGATGAACTCACTGTATGTATTTGTTTCCTAAGGTTGTGATAACAAAGTACCACAAAACAACAGAAATTTGTTCTTATAATTCCACAAATCTTTTTTTTTTTTTTTAAGAGACAGAGTCTCACTTTATTGCCCTCAGTAGAGTACTGTGGCATCACAGCTCACAGCAACCTTTAACTCTTGGGCTTAGGCGATTCTCTTGCCTCAGCCTCCCAAGTAGCTGGGACTACAGGCGCCCACCACAATGTCTGGCTATTTTTTGGTTGCAGTTCAGCCAGGGCCAGGTTTGAACCCGCCACCCTCAGTATATGGAGCCGGCACCCTACTCACTGAGCACAGGTGCCACCCAATTCCACAAGTCTTAAAATATGGTGTCAACAGGGCCGTGCTCTTTCTTAAACCTGTAGTGAGGGTTCTTGCTTGCCTCTTCCAGCTTTTAGTAATCTGCAATCAGTGGCATCCTTTATCTTATGGATCATTCTAGATTTTGCCTCCAGCACCACATGACATTCTCCCTGTGTGACCCTGCCTCCACATGGCCACCTCTTATGAGGACCAGTCATAGTAGATTAAGGGCCCACCCTGCTCTGGTCCCACCCAGTGTGACCTCATTTTAATTAATCATATTTGGAGTGACCCTATTTCCAAATAAAGTCACATTCTTATGTACTGGGGGTTAGGACTTCAGCATCTCTTTTTGGGAGACATAATTCAACCTGTATCACGTCACACCACAGTGTTAAGGAACACCGCCTAGGCTGAGTCTAAGGGAGTTAGCCGCACATTCCTATTCTGGAAACCAACATCAGGCACTCCTTAAGTCTCGAGCAGGTATTTCCAGAGGTCTTACTCTGTGCAGAGGACTTGACTCAGTACAGGTGAGAGGTAAGATCCAAAACCTAGAATTAAACAATTCTGCCAGGAGGAGGTAGAGAAAGGACAGACTTGAGCAATGGTCCAGAAAGTGAGATCTCGAGCCACAGGTGAGTTTGTCATGTTTATTAGTGCTGGGAATTCTAGCCTTAGGTAACAGATTTTCCATAGGCAGAGAGCAGAGTGGCAGAAACTTGGAGTACTCAGAGACCCCAGGAGGCAAAACAGTGTGGTACCCCAGACCTTGCAGCCTGAGGCTGTGAAGATTGGGACTTAGACACATGGCAGCACAACAGGAAGTGACTTGCCAGACTGGAGGCCAAGGCGGAGGAGATTCAAGTTCAAGAGGGTCTAGTGACTCTAAGTGGGAGTCATAGAGCTCAAGGAAGGTCCAGGACAGCCCACAGCAAACCCCATGTTGACTCTGTCTTTAGCTCTTCCAGCCTGAGGGCAGATTTGGCTCCTTGTAAAGGGCATAGGCGGTTCTTTAGCACAGAGTCTCATAGTCCTGCTGTGTAAAGACCAAGACAGGACAGCCCAGGCAGGACCGGACTCCTATTTGAAAGCAGGTGTGATTTCCCCACTACTGGTTGTAGGTTGCCTTTTTGAGGCTTGATAAGGATTTCCAAAGACAATTATAAAGAGCTTTGAAGAACTTATTAAAGTAAGTAAATAGAATAATAATAAATTAAAAATCAGAATGATTTTCTTTTAAAGAGCTCTGAGAGTTACGGTTCTAAAGAGCAATCCCTGTTGTGACCCTAAAGGCCAGGGGTTCTCTGAAGGATATGTAGGTCTATATTAGATCACAGGAATAGGAGAGAGAGTACTTGACTGTGAGCATATTCATTGCCCTCTAGATATCTGTCACTCAGAAGATTGTCTTGCTAACCTTGTCCCATAGGAACTTGCAGCAGTCTTTGATAAACCAGGCAAAAGCAAGAGTAACCTTTGATTTCTCAGACTTGAGGCAGAGAACAATATCAGTCTGTCCCAAATCTCTTAGTGTTATCAATGAAGATGTTCCCTAAAAGGCAGCTGGAAGGAGAATGGTACATCTGATTTCATCAATCGGGGCACATGTGAAGACAGCCACCAGAGGGGCAGGGAGGATCAGGAGCCTCTAGCATCTCTGGGTTTGTCTGTTTTATTAGAAGCACATGAAGCTCTCCTCAGACTTAGCCCATGGTCTGCACTTAACACCATTAGATTAAGATTATCAGCAAATTGGCTCGGCACCTATAGCTCAACCAGCTAAGGCGCCAGCCACGTACACCTAAGGTGGCGGGTTCGAATCTCCAGCCCGGACCCGCCAAACAACAATGATGGC